CCATACCCCATCCACCTCATACCCCCATCCACCGCATATCCCCATCCATCCCATACCCCCATTCAGCCCATACCCCCATCCACCCCATACCCCCATCCACCCCATATCCCCATCCATCCCATACCCCCATTCAGCCCATACCCCCATCCACCCCATACCCCCATCCACCCCATACCCCCATCCACCCCATACCCCCATCCACCGCATATCCCCATCCATCCCATACCCCCATTCAGCCCATACCCCCATCCACCCCATACCCCCATCCACCCCATACCCCATCCACCCGATACCCCATCCACCCCATACCCCCATCCACCCCATACCCCCATCCACCGCATATCCCCATCCATCCCATACCCCCATTCAGCCCATACCCCCATCCACCCCATACCCCCATCCACCCCATACCCCCATCTACCCCATACCCCCATCCACCCCATACCCCATCCACCCCATACCCCCATCCACCCCATACCCCCATCCACCGCATATCCCCATCCATCCCATACCCCCATTCAGCCCATACCCCCATCCACCCCATACCCCCATCCACCCCATACCCCCATCTACCCCATACCCCCATCCACCCCATACCCCATCCACCTCATACCCCCATCCACTGCATATCCCCATCCATCCCATACCCCCATTCAGCCCATACCCCCATCCACCCCATACCCCCATCCACCCCATACCCCCATCTACCCCATACCCCCATCCACCCCATACCCCATCCACCTCATACCCCCATCCACCGCATATCCCCATCCATCCCATACCCCCATTCAGCCCATACCCCCATCCACCCCATACCCCCATCCACCCCATACCCCCATCCACCGCATATCCCCATCCATCCCATACCCCCATTCAGCCCATACCCCCATCCACCCCATACCCCCATCCACCCCATACCCCATCCACCCCATACCCCATCCACCCCATACCCCCATCCACCCCATACCCCCATCCACCGCATATCCCCATCCATCCCATACCCCCATTCAGCCCATACCCCCATCCACCCCATACCCCCATCCACCCCATACCCCATCCAGCCCATACCCCCATCCACCCCATACCCCCATCCACCCCATACCCCCATCTACCCCATACCCCCATCCACCCCATACCCCATCCACCCCATACCCCCATCCACCGCATATCCCCATCCATCCCATACCCCCATTCAGCCCATACCCCCATCCACCCCATACCCCCATCCACCCCATACCCCCATCTACCCCATACCCCCATCCACCCCATACCCCATCCACCTCATACCCCCATCCACTGCATATCCCCATCCATCCCATACCCCCATTCAGCCCATACCCCCATCCACCCCATACCCCCATCCACCCCATACCCCCATCTACCCCATACCCCCATCCACCCCATACCCCATCCACCTCATACCCCCATCCACCGCATATCCCCATCCATCCCATACCCCCATTCAGCCCATACCCCCATCCACCCCATACCCCCATCCACCCCATACCCCCATCCACCCCATACCCCCATCCACCGCATATCCCCATCCATCCCATACCCCCATTCAGCCCATACCCCCATCCACCCCATACCCCCATCCACCCCATACCCCATCCACCCCATACCCCATCCACCCCATACCCCCATCCACCCCATACCCCCATCCACCGCATATCCCCATCCATCCCATACCCCCATTCAGCCCATACCCCCATCCACCCCATACCCCCATCCACCCCATACCCCATCCAGCCCATACCCCCATCCACCCCATACCCCCATCCACCCCATACCCCCATCTACCCCATACCCCCATCCACCCCATACCCCATCCACCCCATACCCCCATCCACCCCATACCCCCATCCACCGCATATCCCCATCCATCCCATACCCCCATTCAGCCCATACCCCCATCCACCCCATACCCCCATCCACCCCATACCCCCATCCACCCCTCATCCACCCCATACCCCCATCCACCCCATACCCCCATCCACCCCATACCCCCATCCACCGCATATCCCCATCCATCCCATACCCCCATTCAGCCCATACCCCATCCACCCCATACCCCCATCTACCCCATACCCCCATCCACCCCATACCCCATCCACCCCATACCCCCATCCACCCCATACCCCCATCCACCCCATACCCCCATCCACCCCATACCCCCATCCACCCCATACCCCCATCCACCGCATATCCCCATCCACCCCATACCCGCATCCATCGCATATCCCATCCACCCCATACCCCCATCCATCGCATATCCCATCCACCCCACACCCCCATCCACCCCATACCCCCATCCACCCCATACCCCCATCCACCCCATACCCCCATCCACCCCATAACCCCATCCACCCCATACCCCCATCTACCCCATACCCCCATCCACCCCATACCCCCATCCACCCCATACCCCCATCCACCGCATATCCCCATCCATCCCATACCCCCATTCAGCCCATACCCCCATCCACCCCATACCCCCATCCACCCCATACCCCATCCACCCCATACCCCATCCACCTCATACCCCCATCCACTGCATATCCCCATCCATCCCATACCCCCATTCAGCCCATACCCCCATCCACCCCATACCCCCATCCACCGCATATCCCCATCCACCCCATACCCGCATCCATCGCATATCCCATCCACCCCATACCCCCATCCATCGCATATCCCATCCACCCCACACCCCCATCCACCCCATACCCCCATCCACCCCATACCCCCATCCACCCCATACCCCCATCCACCCCTCATCCACCCCATACCCCCATCCACCCCATACCCCCATCCACCCCATACCCCCATCCACCGCATATCCCCATCCATCCCATACCCCCATTCAGCCCATACCCCATCCACCCCATACCCCCATCTACCCCATACCCCCATCCACCCCATACCCCATCCACCCCATACCCCCATCCACCCCATACCCCCATCCACCCCATACCCCCATCCACCCCATACCCCCATCCACCCCATAACCCCATCCACCCCATACCCCCATCTACCCCATACCCCCATCCACCCCATACCCCCATCCACCCCATACCCCCATCCACCGCATATCCCCATCCATCCCATACCCCCATTCAGCCCATACCCCCATCCACCCCATACCCCCATCCACCCCATACCCCATCCACCCCATACCCCATCCACCTCATACCCCCATCCACTGCATATCCCCATCCATCCCATACCCCCATTCAGCCCATACCCCCATCCACCCCATACCCCCATCCACCGCATATCCCCATCCACCCCATACCCGCATCCATCGCATATCCCATCCACCCCATACCCCCATCCATCGCATATCCCATCCACCCCACACCCCCATCCACCCCATACCCCCATCCACCCCATACCCCCATCCACCCCATACCCCCATCCACCCCTCATCCACCCCATACCCCCATCCACCCCATACCCCCATCCACCCCATACCCCCATCCACCGCATATCCCCATCCATCCCATACCCCCATTCAGCCCATACCCCATCCACCCCATACCCCCATCTACCCCATACCCCCATCCACCCCATACCCCATCCACCCCATACCCCCATCCACCCCATACCCCCATCCACCGCATATCCCCATCCATCCCATACCCCCATTCAGCCCATACCCCCATCCACCCCATACCCGCATCCATCGCATATCCCATCCACCCCATACCCCCATCCATCGCATATCCCATCCACCCCACACCCCCATCCACCCCATACCCCCATCCACCCCATACCCCCATCCACCCCATACCCCCATCCACCCCATACCCCAATCCAGCCCATACCCCCACCCACCCCATACGCCCATCCACCCCATACCCCCATCCATCGCATATCCCATCCACCCCATACCCCCATCCAGCCCATACCCCCATCCACCCCATAACCCCATCCACCCCATACCCCCATCTACCCCATACCCCCATCCACCCCATACCCCCCATCTACCCCATACCCCCATCCACCCCATACCCCCATCCACCGCATATCCCCATCCATCCCATACCCCCATCCAGCCCATACCCCCATCCACCCCATACCCCCATCCACCCCATATCCCCATCCAGCCCATACGCCCATCCACCCCATACCCACATCCAGCCCACAACCCCCATCCACCCCATACCCCCATCCATCGCATATCCCATCCACCCCATACCCCCATCCAGCCCATACCCCCATCCACCCCATAACCCCATCCAGCCCATACCCCCATCCATCCCATACCCCCATCCACCCCATACCCCCATCCAGCCCATACTGCCATCCAGCTCCAGGCGCCCCTGCACGTGTGTGGTTTGGAAATGAAAGGCCGGGGGGTTGCATATGGAGGGGAGTTGGGGGGAGGGGGAGGATGCTTGGAGAAGAGCTTTGCCTCGGCTGTGAGCAGCTCAGGCGCACCTTACATGGCAGGGGATGTGGGGGGTGTGGGGGGTGTGGGGGAGTGTGGGGGTTGTGGGGGGTGTGGGGGGTGTGGGGGAGTGTGGCGCTGGTTTGTGCTCGGTTTTGAGACACCTAAGTCTTCATAGTCTGTTTAAGCATGGCTGGATTCAAAGTGTGTGTTTCAAATATATAGCATGCAAACAAGCAATCGTCCAAATATATATATCAAACATAAGGAATCGCCAATGGCACACACACTGAACCCATTCATACCAAATTTCCCGCAGCGTGCCCTACCATGCTTGGCGCCGCCAAAAGTGGCCATGCATGGAAGAGGGATCTCAAACAAGCTACTCTCATCCAAACTACTTTCAACCGAACTCCTTACCTTGAAAGGGCCTCTCACAACTGCTCCTTAGTAGGAAATCGGCTGCACCACGAGGGGGGACCGCACGCTGTGACCGTTGTCATCAGCCTAGACTATATACCCGTACTTGAAGTCATTACTGGGTGTATCCACCGTGATCGTCAGCGTGTAGGAGGCCTTCTTCCCGGGAGCCAGCGTGAGGCTCCTAGGCCCCACAGTCACCTTCACCCCTCTGCGGGGGCTTCCCAGATACACTGTATGTGGACCGGGACTGCCCCACGTTGGTGACGGTGCGTGTGACCTGCAGGGAGCCCTGCAGGCGAGGCAGAGTGATGGTGGGCAGGTTGAGGTTCCGGACAGCCAGAGGCGAGAGTGCCACCCCTGGGAACTCCTTTTTGGCGCGGTTGAGGTCCTGCCCAGCCAGGAAGTTCTGGTAGTCGCGGTCGCGGGCGTCGTAGGTGAGCCCGGGGTCGAGCATGGCCGGGGGGAACACGTGGCCTGCGCCCATCTCCCACGGGGTGGCCTCCCTGCCCGTCGCACTCTTGATGGCGCTCTTGCTCGTGTCCGTCACCCGCGCCGTCGTCATCAGCGCTGACAACACCTGCGCCGGGGTCCAGTTAGGGTGCTTCTGGATGATCAAAGCGGCTAGCCCGGCTAAATGCGGGGTGGCCATGGAAGTGGCCGACATGCGGGCAAGGGCACCAGGCTCGCTGGGTTTGTTGCCGGGAGCAGCGGCTACGAGGTCCACTCCGGGGCCGATGATGTCGGGCTTCAGGATGGCGTTGCCTGGCTTGGGGGGCTGGGCCGTGGCAGAGGGCTGCAGCAGGGGGCCGCGGGAAGAGAATTCAGCCACCACCGGGGCGGAGGAGGAGGAGGTGAAGGTGATTCCGCCATCGGCGATCAGAACGGTGCTGCTCCCGTCCATGCTGTTGCCATTGAAGTTGCTGCCTGTGCCGCTGCCCGTGCCGTTGCTGCTGATGGTGGCACCGAGAGCGAGCGACTGAGCCCCGGCAGTTGAGGAGGCGAGGGAGGCGCCGCCTCGGGCAATGGTGCTGGTGCCAACCGTGAGATAGAAGGGCGCAAAGTTGTCAAGCGTGCGGTAGAACCCTCCACGACCAGGAGGCCCGGCGTTGCCCGCAGCAAAGGCGACAATCACCCCAGCAGCATTGGCGCGCATGAAAGCGAGATCGTTGAAATAGTTGTCCTTGGGATTCACACCGCCGAGAGACAGCGACAGCACATCCACACCGTCCGCCACGCCCTGATTGACGACTGCGATGATATCTGGTTCCGTCGCGTACATGTCCCCGTTGCCATCCGTCCAGAAGACCTTGTACGCCGCAATGCGCGCTGCCGGCACCATGCCGCTCACCTGCCCACCGCCCTTCACCTTCACGGGGTTCCCCACGGCTGCCCCCGCGCACCACGTGCCATGGCCGTTCGCATCTCGCGGCGAGAGCCAATCGTTGCTCAGCACGGGCTTGCCGCTGCTCTGCTGGAAGCCGGCATATAAGGCCTTGGCGCCGATCACCTTGTTGTTGCACCGGAACGAGCTCGACTGCTCGCACTTGCCCTTCCACCCCGCAGGCAGCTGCGAGGAGAGGCCCTTATCGCTGAAGGACGGGTGTTCGGGCCAGATACCCGTGTCCACGATCCCCACCACCGTGCCCTCGCCCGCCTTGCTCTGCCCGCCCACTGCCGGCCACACCTTCCCGAGGAGCCCCAGGAACTGCGGCGAGTCGCTGGTCTGCCGGCGAAACACGCGGCTGGCGCGCACAGACGCGCCGCAGCCGCCACAGCTGGCGCGCCGTGAGGCACGCGGCGAAGCCGTTGGACGTGTGCTTGTAGCTGTAGAGCATCGCGGAAAAGGAAGAAGCACATTTTAGGGGTCCGTAGGGTTTTCTACGAAAAAGCATACAAAACGTCCTAGGCAGTACACAAAAGACCCCTAACCACATGTGACGCAAATGTCACATTTTGGGTTTTTTCCCTTGGACATTTTCCAGTCTTTGGATGCTCGCACCGCACATTTCATGCAACGTGTCGCACGTTTTTTACGGACCGCACATATGGCATTCCCGCTTCAATGTACATTCCCCGCGCCGCACATTTTCGGCCATGTACACCACTGCTAATTTGGCTCCTCTGTTGTGTGTCTACGCAATTAGGATTATCAAAGTAAGCTACACTACCGTCATGTTCAACCCACATATACTGCATAGAATACTCTTCAATAGTGTTGAGTGGTCACCATCACCAAGTTGGTCATCGCCCGTTCACACATAATCAGCGTCAATTGCGTCTCACACGGTGCGACAAGCCACTGAAATGCCCCGTGAACCCCGCTAGTCAAACCCACTCATGTTCACTCGGTCAGCAGGAACATGTTGAGAAGCATGACACGCTTGTCCACATAAGACATGCAAATGTGCACCACCCTCTGGATGCACTCCACGTCCACCACAGCATACGTTGTCCTCACACGGCCGGGTGTCAACTGCAAGCAAGTTGTCATCGGGCACGTGCCCTCCTCCTCGTAGTACTTCACGTACACGTGCCTCCCCATCTCTCCATCCACCCCCTTTGCCTTGAAGATGCATAGGCATCTTGCGTACCACTCTCTCTCGTCTGGGTTAAGCACGGCCACGTTTGAAAACCACTTCTCTGATGGGCTTGCCTTCACAAACGTGCCCTTCGGCACAAGCTCCCCACCTCGGGTTCAGGGTATCGCCACAGCGGTGTGCACCTGCGCATGACGGTCAACATGAGGGCAATTCTGGTGACTTGACCCACAAGTACCAGGACTCTAGCACGAGGGTGACCCTCATGTACATAGACGAGCGGCCCACGATAGTGGTCCACATGCCACACAAAAACGCATAAATGCAGGCCTCACCGCGATGGATGGGGACGGGAGGCCTACCACCCTCATGCACCCTGCAAGTGCGTCCATGTCGGACCCATGTGCCTCGCGATACACCCACATAACCGCGTCCATGTCCTCGTCCACATTTGCTGGACGGAATTTCTTCGTCAGGACAGGTTTGCGTGTCTGTACAGCCTTTGTGCACACAGATTGTGATACAGTCGCTGAATGATTCCATGAGGTTACCGCACTCCGACACAATACGTCATGCTACATGGTGTCGCAGACTGCGTGCCGTGTACTGCACCTACCTCGCGCAGCGCCGTTACATACTGCCTGTTGCCGCCTGCGTCCGCGGACACCTCCCGCGCTATCTCGCACTGCACCTCCTCCTCAATAATGCGGCGTGGAATGTCCTGCCAGTTGCTTCCTCGCACCGGCACCTTCACTGTGCCCTTGTGTGTGTGCTCCCATAGGTTCGTGGATGTCTCGTGCGTCAACCCACGCATAGGGATGCCAGTAATCAGGTGCACAATTTGGTGCACCTTCGGGATGTTCCAGCCTGAGACCTGGTCAGGAAACGCAGCGACGATTGCCTCCATCATTCTGCACAGCGACACATGAGGCGGATATAAGTCCGGATGTAATGGCACAGCACACGTCGTTGCACACCACTCCCCATACTACACCTACACATTCCTAAAATCTGAAAGTTTAGTGCACACCATGGTGTGCACGAATCACGGAACTTACGTCACTGCCATTGCTCTGACGTCATCCAGGGTGTCGTCCGTGTGCTTTGTCACGCCGACAAGCGCCTTGTAGAAGGTGGCGTATGCCACAAACGCCGCCACCTCCCGTTGTCGTTTCTCCTTCTCCGCTGGTTTGCTCTTCGCCATACTGTCGGCAAACAGCAAGGGCATCACCTGCATCATCCCCCTATGCTCGAAGGCAGCGTAGTTCGCCCCACTGCTAAACCATGTGGTCCCTCCTGGTATGCGCACCACACTTGTGCGTGTGTCCTTCTTTTGCTCCTTGCGGTGCCTGCCAACCCACCCATCTACGGTCAGCCACGTGCATTGCATGTTCATCACGCGGCAGCTAGAAATATCCGGATGAGAGCGTACACACCTCTCAAATTCCCTTCGCTCTGGCTTGCTCTTCTCCACCATGAAGCAGTTGCCCATGCATGGGAGCATGCCCGCGTCCAGGACGTGAAGAAGGTCCGCGGCGCATGCAAGGAACACGTTGCCCCATGCTGTCTCTGCGAAGTTCCACCTCTCCAAGTAACACTGCCGCAGTGTGCATTGACACACAAAGATGAGCATTGTTAGCTGGTTAGTCCCTCTCCACACGCTGAAGTCCACTTATGCATAGTGTGGTACTCGGATCTCACCTGCACCGGGTGCGTCGACCATCGCTTTTTTATTTTCTCGGCCGCCTTAGAGTTCGGGGCCGACTGGATTGCGGCCACTACTCGTCTGCGTAATGTCGGACATATGTGTTTCCTTGGTGTAGCACAACGAGTACGGCCGGTGCAATCCTTGCTGCATCGTTGCTGTGGATCTTGACGTCCGAAAAGACATGGAAACGCCTTGACCACCTTTCCCGTCGCATCGGTGACGTAGAACCATCGTAGCTCTGCACTGTACGCCGTGCCACACCGAATGTCAGATACATGTATTCCATTATACTATGCTTTAAACATCCACTGCCCCCCTTACCCTCGGTGTGCCCTGAGTAATGGCTCAAAAATCACTTCCATGCACGACTGGAATACTCGTGTCTTCTCTGTTGACGACGCCCACTCTGGCGGGAATGGCAGCACTCCTGCCATGAGGTGTCCCGGCTCCTGCCAGCGTAGCGCTTCCGGTATGTTGTTGAGACTGATGAGTACCGGCCACGTAGCAAGCCTGCCGCTCCTGGATGCGTACGTGCTGTAGCTGTACACGATCACCCCCAGCACAATGCAGTCTTCATCTGGCATGCTGGCCTGTGCACGTTGAGAGATTGGTATTAGGACTAGCATACATTGAGTTGGGCGCAATCGTCTATAATGGCCATACACCTCACCTGCGCTTCGTGGCACCACTTCCCCGTGTTCGGCGTGCTGTAATGCTGTACGTCCTCGGTGTCCTCCTCGTCCGTGCACGCTTTGGTGACAAACCCCGCGATGTGCTGAAATGCCTGTAACAACTTCTTCACCAGCTGCCAAACACACACCCACTACGTGTTAAGAGATGAGTATAACAAGCAGTAAATCTATGCATCGTCATTCCATGGATGCGGAGTGACTCTGGTTTTTTCTCACCAACTCCGTGTCCCGGTAGTGCAACAGCAGCGTGCACATCCTCCCTCTTGGTCCGTAGCACTTGACGCCCTTCGTCTTCCATGGGACCTGGTCAACTGGTGCCCTTTCGCGCCCAAATTGTCTAACATCCACGAAATTGAGCCACCTCCACACGTCCCTCAAAGAGAACTTAGGGTTCTGGAAAATACTGAGCAGTCTGTTCACCTCTCGTCGCGACAGATCGGCTTCGCGGAAGAAGATGTACAGCTCTTTGAGAGTATTGAAGCTGTCGTCTATCTCTGACATAACACTCTCCTCCCCATTGCTCTCCTCATCGGGAACTATGGGATCGTCTGGTTGATCGACAACTCCAGCAGGGTCCACTTCTCCGCCCGACGCCGAAGCGCCTGCATTGCTGTTTGTAGAACGCACGGGTGTTTGGGGCCTGGCTCCGCGCCTGGCGCAGAGCACGTCCCGATACGCCTCCACCAGCCGCTGGGCACAGGAGTGTTGAATCTTGCGCCTGCATTTAATATTGTTAGACTCATGCGACTGGAGTGTGTTGTCATCAACATGCTCCAGTCCGCACACCTCGCAGGCATTGCCCAGCATTGCTAGAGCTTGTGCTAACCCTAACTTCCACCTAACGATAAGGTTGTTCGTCCATCGGATGGAGCAATATCTGCCTGAATGTTTGCAACTGTTGCATGTCTTTCCCAGCTCGGTTCCAGCGTATTCATCGCCGGTATAAACCGGTGATGTCCATATGACATTTGGCATGTCAGTTGACCGCATTAATTGAAACTCAACGACACGGTGTGTAGCGGTCAATTTAGCGCCGGGCCCGGTATCAGCTTGCCCAGCAAGCCGTACATGTACTGTACTTCCTACTCAGTTGCTAAGTTCTACTTATGATTTTGTGTTTAGCTCACCATTCGTTCTGTCCAACTGTGGCCTTATATGTTCGCTATGGAACAAACCTGCTAAAAGTATCACTCACTCCTTCATTCCGGATACAGTACTATCCGCGGAATGTAAGTCCCTGGTCGGCGGTCAATGTACACTGGTCTCATCCGGGCCACTCATCCCAGCTGTTCCCCTCCATGCGGTCGGATAGTGGCGTCTTGTGTCCAAATGACAATACTCCATGTGTCCATGTCACGTATGCAAGTTCACAATGGTGGTTAGGGTATTGATTACGTGGTGGATAACGTCCGCGTGGGTAATGGCACTGTCCGTCATTAGAGCCCGTTAATGCGTCTCGCTTCCTTCTGTTATAACAAGCGCACCACATTTGCAAAGCGCTCATTCCCGCCACCATGGCTGAAATGGCCCTATTGCTAGAGGAGATACAGGCTCACCCTCAGGACGTGTTCTGCTTTGTGGAAGAAGCCATCCTGCCCACCAAGCTGCCCTTCCGTGATTCTGGTGATGGCCGAGTCGACCCGCATCCCAACTGGCACCTCAACATTGGCTTTCTTTTCAATGCTGCCGGCACCGTCATGTGTCTGCCTCTGGTAATGTTTCACCTAGAAGACGAGCTTGCGCATGGCATAGAAAACCCAGCCGGTCATCCCGTCTTCGTCCGCCACACCATCGACAGAACAGTCACCCCCGATGTGCGTACTGTCACGCATTATCTCGAGAACCAATGGCTACACATTTTTACGACCGCTGTGACACCCCTACTGACTATACTTCGCACTCGTTGTCTTGCTCCTCATGCAGATATTCAGCGAGTACCTGGAAGCGTTGAACGGCGTCTCGTACTCAACGGACGACCACGTCATTGTCCTTGTAACGAAGGACTCCCACGCTACGACTGACAGTTCCGCGATGGAAACGACGGAACATGGTTTCCACGTGCAGAACTTGAGCAACCTCCGTATCGTTCACATGCACGGCGCTGCGCCACGGTGCATCCATCCCGGCCTGTGTGGGATCGTGGAGTTGTGGAGGACGCTTTATCGTGGATGTTACCTGCGACATTTGATGCGAACCCCCGAATGGCGCGCCGGCACTGATTTCCTGCTCCCGCCCCCGTTACACATGATTTGATGGATGGGGGCCTCGTGGTCAGAAGCCACGCCTGCGTCGGTCCATCTTAGCTGGTGGCGTGCCGGATGTGTGCCAGCATAATGGCGACTCGCCATCCGCGCGTACAAGTACCCAGTACTTAGCGTCCTGTCTGAACCACTGGTGTTGGAGCTGGGTCAGCTGCAGTGGCTAATAGACGAGTTCAGGCCTCGCGGTGAAGGCCTCATGCATGCTACTGATTTTGCCCATTGCGAGCAGCTCCTGGTACCCTCACGCATTGAGCGTGTTGGTAACGAGACACCCGCCTCTGTGGAAGACCCCGTCATAACACTGAACACTCATCATGGCCCGCTAATCAGTGACAGTCGTTGTCACAAGCGCGTAGCACGCGTGGTCTCCGAACTAATTTATCGTCATGCCATCTCTCTCGGCATACAAGTGCGCGACGCTCCTGAACGGTTTGGTGCGTCGAACGCCAAAGTTGTTAGTCGTCTTCGCCGTACTCCTATTAAGCGTCCCCGACAGTCAGCTGCGACGGTCATCTAAGAACGTCGATGTCGCCTGGTGCTTGACATGATGCGGTAAGATGCGCACGCCTAGTACGATAGCTAGTTAACGTGCTATCACTAGTGTGCCGTGAATAATGTAATGGAGTATGTTTAACCTTTGTTCATCCTGCGCCAGTATGATTGTGAAGGAGCACTCGAGAGTATTATTCGGAAACATCTCGTTTAGCACTGCGAGTCTCATATTTAAACATTATACCGGGACTGTGTAAGACGGAAATTTGTGGATAGGGTTTGGTGGCCACACAAGCACCCGGAACCATTCTACCGCTTTCAAACACAACATCTTCATATGATGGCATGCAGTCGCAGGTATGCCAACGCACAATATTTCGTGTTTATCATCCGGCGTGCAGTACCGCGTACGTCACATCACACTGCATGCAGTGAGACCGTGAATCCACATGCATAACCACACCATCGTTTACAATGAACAAATGACAAGGGCAGTTTAAGCATGACACGTGTGACGCCCGGGCGGAGCTGGTGTTCCGCGCCAAAAACGTCGAATCTGGATTTGGCGCGCAATGTGACTCACTGGTTGCCATGTACACCTTTTGAGTTCCTGTCAACACCCAGACGCAACCGTCTGCGCGCACTCCCGTGTCTAGTATATTCTTCCGTTAGTCTGTGCGGACCTCATTTGTGGTTTCAGCGGCGGATCTATCCGCCTCTTAGCCGCGGAATTCCTCTTAGTTAGCGTCATAGCCTGCAAGTGCACACGATGAACATACAGCATATGCTGGTGCAGAGAGGCCACTCTTCCGGAGCCGCAAGTACCCTGACAACTGTGAAGACGGAGCAAGTGCGCCGTCAGCGCAAAGTGAAGAACGAGGCCTGTGCTGAGCGAAGGGTACAATCGGCGGTCAGCGGCGTAACGGGTTCTGGAGCAGCAACACCACCGCCACCGGATGACGTTGTTTCTCGCCTGAGGAACCCCAACTATCAGCGCGATTTTCAGACGTTGGCACTGTACGGTCCCCATGGAGTGGGATGCCAGTTGACT